GGCATGGCTTGCATGTAAATATTATAAATATTGAATTTTTTATAAAAAAGAGCAACTTTTACCCCAAATCAGGCAAAGCAGGCAGGCAGATTGAGTTGCTCACAGAATCATTCAGTGATCTATCTGCCATCGGCTAGCTCAGTCTCTCAAATTTGCTTTCTGCGAGTCTGCACTGAATAATAGAACCTTCAATTCTAAGGGAGGTTCAGCTGTGCTTAAAGACAGAACCGAAGATCTAAAGACTAGAAAGCAAGAAATCCAACCATTTCCTGCTTCCTAGCTAATCTAAAACTCCTGGCACAGAACACCTGATGGTCGGAAAAAGGAAAAATAGACATCTTAATGTATTGTAACTTGGTGCAGTATGTTTTTCACTGGTTTTAAATCAGTTTTAGAAATTGACACAGAACAAGCAGTTTATTATTTTTAAGTAATACACACGAAACTCAATCTATTTTACTCTGCCACCTACTGGCAACACTTAATAGTTTGCTCTTGATGCTGATTTAAATTGGAAAAGTATGAAATATTTAATTTAAAAGGGGGAATGGACGTTTATTGAACAAAAGTTTTCCTTTGTAAGGAAACAAAGCATAAGTTGCTACAATAGGAGTCCTTAACATGGCATCATGCTAGAATAAGCTAACTACTACCTCTTTAGTTATACTTATATAAAATTATTTTTATAGTTATATAAAATTATATGAGGGAACTACACAGCTGATGACCCTTTGGATCATCCTTTCAGAACTGTTTCTTAGCTACCATATTTTTCAGACTATAAGATGCACCGGACCATAAGACGCATCTAGGTTTAGAGGAGAAAGACAAGAAAAAAATAGTTCTTTGCTTCCGCATGTTCTCTTTTGCTCTCCCCAGGGTCCAGAAGCACTCTGCAGACCGAAAATGGGCCCATTTTTGGCCAGCAGAGGCTTCCATGGGTCCTGTTTTTGCCCTCCCAAGGAGGCTGAAAACTGAACTCCCAGAGGCCAAAAACGGGCATGTTTTTGGCCTTAGAGTGCTTCTGGATGCATGGAGGCCAGAAACAGGCCCATATTTGCTCTATAAGACACACAGACATTTCCACCCACTTTTTTGGGAGGAAAAACTGTGTCTTATAGTCCAAAAAATACGGTAATTTCCTTCAATAATGACAGTGTTTCTGTCTTCACTGGAAAAGTTGGGATACTTTCAGATATGTATTTGCCTTGAAAATAGCCCATATTGAACTAGTCAAACATCAGCATGGGAAATTTTTATGATATTTTGTATTATAAATGTGTTATAATTTTTATGTCATAAAATTGTTATAAAACCTGCCAAATTTCAATTCCACAGGTTCTGTGAGCATGGCTTGATGGGCATGGCAGGGAAGGATACTGTAAAAATCTCCAGTCAGAGGTGTTATTTGCCGGTTCTTTGAACTACTCAAAATTTCCGCTACCGGTTCTCCAGAACTCATCAGAACCTGCTGAATACCACTTCTGGTTCTGTTCTTATATGCAGTCAGCAGGTCCAAAAATATATGTGACTGTGTGCTAAACATACACAACCACCCTACAAGCACAGAGCACATATATTGCATTTTTGAATTCAACAATTCAGAGATAAAGGAATTTGCTGTTAAAAAAAATATTGTGGAAAAAAAAAGATAGTAAATAGCATAATTCAAAGGAAAGAAAACCACACCATTATTACATATTTTGGCCACCACTGAAATTCTACAAACTACAGTCAAGATTTCCCAAGGTGGCCAGTTTTGGATGCATTTTTATGTTAGCCCATTTGATGTTATCTTGGTTCAAAATGTTTTGCCCTACTGGTGCACCATTTTGCTCATTTAAAGTTACAGGAAAGAAAATTTTAGTAGTGTATAGATAGATGAACATTAATAAATTATTTCATGATATTTTTCTTTTCCCTTTTATTACAATGATTTCATATGCATAAACCGAAAACTGCACATACTACTAACATCTATTAATACACAGATCTGTATTTTGGTAACCTTGGATCATTTTATTTTGTTTAAATTTGACATTTTCAAAAATATAATTTCATTATAAGGCATTTTGTTATTACATAAAGAACAACCTGCAGGGCTGTGCAATAATGCAACTTAATAACCTGGGCCTCTGCTCACTACAATGATTGCATGCTTACATCTACAAATTGCATATATTCTTAAAGAACAGCTGCTATTTTGCACAATTCCAAAAGTAATCATTAGCGTAGTAAGTGGCACACCAGCTATTTTCTGCTCAGGTTTACATCTCCTAAGTAATTTGAAATACATCCAACTAGTTACTCTATAGTAAATTTAACCTTACTTATTAAAAATGAGATTATGGCTTAAAAAAATATTGTGATGACCCAGGCGTGGCACAAAGGCAACACAGTCAGATAATCAATGAGTCCCTTTATTATCTACAACTTTGCCCCCAATGTCCAGGTCTTCTGGTTGGAGGAAAATTCTCCTAGGAACAGCCTTTGAATGTAGAAAATGGAGTCCAAAACAGGGTAAACACAAACCATAACTTAAAAATCAAACAAGCCAAACTGAAGTAATTAGTTTGGCAGGGCAGGAGCAAAAATTTCAAACTTGAAAGCATGGCAAAACTCACATGGCTGGGAAGACGCCATGAACACAGAGAAGCCATGACAACAGAAGAAAGTCACGTTTGCTTCCAACAGCCTGCCGCACGCAGTTTGCCTTTTTTATAAACTGTGTTCCCAGCTGCAGTTAATGAAGGGAATCCTTTCCTCTCCCGTATGCCACGCAACTCACATTGCTTTCTTCTCCATTCCTCCCTGCATGCCCTAGGATGAAGAGGGGATGGGCCTGGGTCTTCCTCTGAATTCCCCCTCCCTTGTTCTACTTCTTCCTTGCTTTGCCCAGCTGGACTTTGCCCTTCCGAAGTTTCCTCCACAGCCAACGGAGCCACATTCCTAATCCCTGTCAGCGGTTCAACTTCCTCCTTAGATTCAGACTCTGACAGGGGCATGACAAATATGCTAAAAAGAATAGACACCAGAATTCACTAAAATGTATTTTGCTCTTTTTGAACAATTCTTTGTTCCTAGTTGTAATTTAGTCCTATGCTTTTCATACCTAGATTTAAGTTCCCTTTAACTTATGAGACAAACTTGTGAGGACTGATAAGTGAGACATTGAATTTTGCCCCATTTTATGATTTCTCATCATAGTTGTGTGGAAAGTTTTATATCAAAATATATTTTATTCTTTATACTGTCTCCATCTTTCCTTTAACATTAACAGAAACTACAATGGACCGAGAATCAGCATCTCCATTAGATAATTGACAGTAAGGCTGAATAAGTTAATCAAGTAAAAATAGCAAACTCAAACTTCCTCAATCCCCCAAATAAGTTATCTAGACCTAATTCATAAATCAAAGGTCTGTAAACACAATAAAATACTGTGTTTCCCCCAAAATAGGATCTAGCCCCAAAACAAGCCCTAGCCCAATTTTCACGCCTCCGCCTAATCCAAGCCCTACCACCAAAATAACCTTTAGTTAAATCCTGGCCGCTGCTTGCTTGTAGGAGGTGGGACAAGGCACAGGTGTAAAAAACTGGGGGGAAGCGGGGTGTAGCTGCCCCCGCCATGCCCTCTTACTGGAGGACTGCTGCAGCTAGGCCTCCCACACTGCCAGACTTATTCTGAAGCCACTTGTGGCCAGAAACCACATGGCACATTGCACCAGTGCTGCTACTTGTAGAACACAAGGCTTGTCGCACCAGTGCTGCTGCTCGCACGTGCAATAACACAACACACCATACAACCTCCTGCCATGAGTGTCTGCAAACAGAACTCAGGAAGTGGTGCGACAGGTGTCAGGGCATGGAAGGCGTGGCTGCGGTGGTTTTAAGTTGGTATCACATGACCACAGGGTTATCGTAACTGTCTTAAGTGTGAAAACCGGTCATAAGTCAGTTTTTCCAGTGCCATTGTAACTTGGTCACTAAATGAATGGTTGTAAATTGAGCTTAAAAGTTTGTATAGGTACAGACATAACATCTGACAGGGTTATCAGTTATTTGGGAAAAGGAGGACATGTTCCCTCCGCAGACAGCCTTAAAATTAAATATTGTCTGGTATTATTTTGGACTGTTTTAATAGTAGCCATTAAAACATTTATGAATGTGCCACTGTAAATTGTTTTTCTTTTCCTTGCCTATTGAGACTCACAGCCTAGATTTACATTATTTCCTGATTCCATCCCCTTGTTTCTTTCAATCTGCACCCTTCATATGTATGATTACTGTAGTCTGTAAACCACATGACTCATGTTTCTATGGTGAAGAAAAGCATGTTTTTCTGAATACTTTATCATCACTAGCACGTTCTTGAAAACAAAAATGTACTGGAAAGATTCAGCAAGTCAAAAAAATTCAGTTTTCTTGTAAAAGTGATTTTATATACATGTAGGTCTAAATACATTTTTTTCGGGTTTTTCAATGTAATTTTTGTTGCAGATGACAAGAGATTAAGCAGTTGGTGTGTCCTGCTTTACCCCATTCATCCTCCTCCTCTCCAATTCTCTAAATCCTCCTTAGCTTCAATAAATATCCGGTAATCCTCACTCGAATCTCTTTCCAAGACTTTTACAACTAAGCAACGTAGAAGGGAAGCGGTATTAATTACACATTAATTACACATGCGAGTATTGCCCATCTCTGTCTCATTTTATCTCAGCAATCTGATTTGGGGTAAATATCGTAAGGCCATCCCATTCACCATTATTTATTTGGGCACGAATCCGAGTATAAACCCACCTTATCCTACAGCGGTTACAACCACTTAGGAGGAATAAAAGACGATTATAGAGATCTCTCCAAGAGAGAAGAGATCAACATTAAGCCGCCCTTCCCCTCGCATGCGGCAAAGAAAGCGCTCCAGCTCGGCACTGCCCCACCGGTAGTTGGAAAGGGCAGAGCCAGAGGGGCGGCGAAGGCAACCCGCGTGCAGGCTCTGATTGGTGGCTTCTCGCGCAGGCGTCCAAGGGCCGGAGCCAAGTAGGCCGCGGGGCTTTTTGTCAAGGAAACGCCAGTGTTTACGGCTGTTGAGTCCTCCTCTGCTCCCATCGCAACCGCCTTTTTTTTTTTTCCGTAGAAGACTTGCAGGTTTTCGTTGCCCACGTCTCGTTCCAGCCAGGCGAAGAATCATGCCTGTACGCTGGAAGGTGAGAGGGGGGGGCTGCCGCCGTGTCCTCAGCGAGAGGCTTCTCCCCTCTTTCGCTCAGCAACTTTAAGCTAGAACAAGCGCTCAGCTTCTGTTCTCTCCTCTCCTCTCCTCCCCTCGCGCATATTTGGTATTGGCCGTTGTGTTATTGGTCGTTTCAAGAGAAGCGCTCATTGTCGCCGCTCCGGGGGGGTTGTTCCCTCTCCTCCACCAAATAACTCGGGTCGGCGGCGGTTGGTTGTCTCGCTGACCTTTCGCCGAGTGGACTAAGTGGACCCCAGGATAGGAAGGAAGAGAGTTCAGTAGCCTATCTGAGTTAGTATGTGGTTACCAACGGGAATGAGCTGGCATGGGAAACTGGGATCGGTGGTAAGTCTTAAGGCTGGGGCTCTCCTTATTCAGGGTCCTTATTCAGGTGTTAAAAGCTGTACGACGACGGGAAAGTCCATTGTTTGCTTTGCTTGGGCTCAGATGGAAAGAATTATAGTATAACAATAAATTAGTCTAATGCCTATCAATACATTTAAAATTGGAGCCTGCCAAAGGAAAAGGTGGGAATGTTAGATAAAGGCAAGGATAGTATCATAATTCAATTGTATCGTTTAGTATAGAAGATGACTATCTTTGCATCTTGGGCATGATATATGGTCTATCCCAGTGTGTTACTGAAATGAATTGGAACAGCCCAAGAATGTAGCAGAAAACCTCTTGAATATTTGTGGGATGAGTTGAGCTGTGGGAAGTGTTACTTGGACTCTTCGCTTCGAGTTTGGAGAGGTGGTGAATTGAATATGACATGATGTCCTAAATTTGTGGAAATAAGGATGACAGTGTAACCATTGTGAGTGATAAAGATAAAAAAATACATAATTCAGTTTGCAGTAGTTCAGACAAAAGCTAATTTACAAAGCCACTGAAGTATGAAATAAAGAGAAAGCTGAGTGGCTTTTAAGAAAAAGACACAATTTTTAAGGCATTTGAAATACAAATGAATATTTATGTTTAACACTTTCACAAGCAATAAAAAATACATTGCACTTGCATATAGCTTATACAAACATTTTGTGCCTTTTAATTTATTTTTTCCTGCTGATATTAATCCATTTTATTTTCTCTGCAGGTACAACATGTGTAAGATTGGCAGGTTTCAGATTTATTGTTACACAGTAGAATTTTACCCATAACAGTAGTGTATAAACATAGGTTGAAACATACAGCATATTAGCAATGACAATTGGATCCAGCAACTTTGTTGTTAAGAAGAAAATCATACAACTTCTGATAGGCTTATGATGTCTTTCCCATTTGGTCAGTAAGCAAATCAATGTTTAATGACCACCCCCAAATCATACTAATTAAACAAGACATGATGTGACTGATTTGCTTCTTTGTTCTCTATTAACTGCGTGTTGCAAGCCTGTTGGGAAGCTTGCAAAATGGTAATCACATGACTACGGACACTGGTAGTTATAAATGCATGTTGATTGTGAAGTGCTCAAATGATGATCACATTAATGTGAGATGTGACAGTTGTAAATGCAAGGACTGATCACAAAGCTGGGTCTTTTTAACACAGTGGTCAATTCAAACTGTTGCTAAACAAAGTTCTCTACTGAATCCAAACAATAGAAGTTCATTCCAACTTTATAAGAAGTGATCCCTCATCTAAACAGACCTCTCCAACCTTAATTTCAGAGTTGGAATAATCTATTTCAATATTGGAATACATCTGATAAGTTTGGAATGGCTTTGGAATGAAATATTTAAGAGTTGAGACTTTGCAACCTTGAAATACTACTCATGCCTCTAGAAACAGCCTGTAGTCCTTCAAGAACAGCTTCTTTCATCAATACTATCCCAAAATTTGGATCTTGGAGATTTGGATTTTAATTTTCTTTATTAGTTCAGGTTATATTCTTTCAGTTTGATGTACTGTCTTGTAATTATCCTAACCCAGCCCTAAACCTATAAAGTACTTTATAAATACAAAAAGAAAACTCCGTACCTGTGTTATTCCACTTGTTTCAATCTTTTATCCAGTAGAGATGAGTGAGTAGTCAGGAGTAGAGCATTAATTCACATTTTTCTTGTTGTAAACCTAGCATTGGAACCAATTAAGTTATGAAAGAAAGGAAACCCACTTTATATACTGTATAGAAATACAATCCTCCCTCTCTCTGTTTAATAGACTTTTGCTCACTATTCACTTTTATTCTCCTGTAAATAATGAAATATTACTTAAAGAATATTAATATGGAATATTAAACTACCTACAGAAAAGATCTCGAGAAGTATTCTTAAAAATTATGGGTGGTTAATTAAAGAGCATGTTATATCAGAATTTGTGAAGAATAATCAAAGTGCCTTATGAAACCTGAGCTTTATCATTGGCTTCTGATATAGGAAATTTGAGAGCAGTTAAATAAAAAGGGAGGGAAAGTAAGAAAATAATAAGAAAAACCAAAGAGGAGACTGGCTTGTTCACTGCCCAAATAGCTTGTATAGTATTTCATAAAAGAGTACCTAACTATTAGATGTGGTATGAAACACATTTTTTAATGGTTTTTGTTTATTAATATGTGGCATCCTGCAGATGAAATTACCTATTACGTGCAAAAATGCATCATGTCATAAAAATATTTTTTACTCAGTAGCTGAACATAATTTCAGATTGCTTTTAAAATTAAGTCTAATCCTTGGAAAATTAACCAGCTCCTACAATTTCCACAATGAAGCTAATGTCGCCTTATAAATTGGACAAAATATAAACCAAATTTGCAGTTTCTAGTCTCGCTGTTATGTTTTAAGTTATAAGTGCAGCATCATGTTATTAAGAGTATAATTCCCATCTGTAAGCAAATGGTTATTCTTGCCAAAACAGGGCTTCTGACAGATAATGTGCTGTATAGAACAATATATATGATGATGCGGAATGACTTTTTGTTCTAATATGTACTATAGCCCTATAGAATTATGTTTATAATTCCCTTTAATTGTAAATTAATAGAACAGTTATAAAAAAAGGACTTACCCATCCAGACTCTTTAAAAAAAAGCTTTAAGAAAAGCTAGTTGCTCTAAAATCTCAATACATGACTATTTATCAACCTTTTGAAATAACAGCTGCCCCAGACAAAGTGACTTATGACTTGTACTTTGCATTTATGACCATCTCATTATTACTATTGTCATTTGATTGCAACTTGAGCACTTAGCAACAGGATTTCATTTATGACCATTTTCAGCATCCTGTAATCATAGTCACAATTTGCAATCTTTTTTTGCCAATTTTTGGTAAAAAAAGGCAACTGGGGTAACTGGATTTGATTAATGATGACATGATTTACTTAATGACCTTGATTATTTGCTTAATGACTGTAATGTAAAATCAGGTCAATTCAATTTATGACTGTAGTGACAATGGCAGAAATTCTGCTCCCAATTGTGATTGTAAATCAAGGAGTACATATATAATCTCAAACATGATGTGAAGTTAGATTCTGATGATTAAGTAATCTGAAGTACAAATTTAATAAATTTTGTTTCCTTTCTACAAGACATTTCTTATTAGTACTAAAGTAAATGTTACTATACGAAGGAACTGCGTATAATAATAAGCTACTTAAGGAAATAAGATAGGCATATTCAAAGTGTGAATGTAACTGAATTTATGCAAATATATGATAGTAGATTCAGGTAGAGTCAAATCATATAAATAGGAAAACCTGTTGGTGAAATATTTTGTCTTTATTTTTTACTGTTATGAAAGATGATTTGACCTTTTCATGTCAAGTAAAAATGCTTACATCAATTCTTCCAGGTTGTGACTTTATTGAGTTTGGAAGAAATAAGGCATAAAATTACTATTTTGCATTTTATATTATTGTAGGGATTAAGTGAGTACAAAAGAAACTTCAAATGGAAGCAGTCAGAACAGCCTATACACTGCAATTCTACACATGGACAAAAGTGCCAATGGGCTGGCCTTCGATCAGATGAATTTGGTGAGACAAATATTTTATTATGTATTTCTTGTAAAAGAAATACTTGCAATAGTTACTGCTTTTTACATACTAATTATCCAGATTTCATCAAATAAATTTTATCATGCAGTAGGGATAAACACAGTTTCGTAGTTTGGGTTCATAAGATTCCATTAGATACCATTAAAAACACAGCAATTTTAGATACTAAATTAACTTGGTTCCTGTTAAGATTGAAGGAGAATATACACTGCTCAAAAAAATAAAGGGAACACTTAAACAACACAGTGTAACTCCAAGTCAATCACACTTCTGTGAAATCAAACTGTCCACAGGTAGCAACACTGATTGACAATCAATTTCACATGCTGTTGTGCAAATGGAATAGACAACAGGTGGAAAGCATAGGCAGTTAGCAAGACCTCCCCAATAAAGGAGTGGATCTGCAGGTGGTGACCACAGACCACTTCTCAGTTCCTATGCTTTCTGGCTGATGGTTTGGTCACTTTTGAATGCTGGCGGTGCTTTCCCTCTAGTGGTAGCATGAGACAGAGTCTACAACCCACACAAGTGGCTCAGGTAGTGCAGCTCATCCAGGATGGCACATCAATGCGAGCTGTGGCAAGAAGGTTTGCTGTGTCTGTCAGCATAGTGTCCAGAGCATGGAGGCGCTATCAGGAGACAGGCCAGTACATCAGGAGACGTGGAGGAGACCGTAGAAGGGCAACAACCCAGCATCAGGACCACTACCTCTGCCTTTGTGCAAGGAAGGAGGAGGAGCACTGCTGTGCCCTGCAAAATGACCTCCAGTGGGCCACAAATGTGCATGTGGCTGCTCAAACGGTCAGAAACAGACTCCATGAGGGTGGTATGAGGGCCTGACGTCCACAGGTGGAGGTTGTGCTTACAGCCCAACACCGTACAGGACGTTTGGCATTTGCCAGAGAACACCAAGATTAGCAAATTCGCCACTGGCGCCCTGTGCTCTTCACAGATGAAAGCAGGTTCACGCTGAGTACAAGTGACAGACGTGACAGGGTCTGGAGATGCCATGGAGAATGTTCTGCTGCCTGCAACATCCTCCAGCATGACGGGTTTGGCAGTGGGTCAGTAATGGTGTGGGGTGGCATTTCTTTAGGGGGCTGCACAGCCCTCCATGTGCTCGCCAGAGATAGCCTGACTGCCATTAGGTACCGAGATGAGATCCTCAGACCTCTTGTGAGACCATATGCTAGTGTGGTTGGCCCTGGGTTCCTCCTAATGCACGACAATGCTAGACCTCATGTGGCTGGAGTGTGTCAGCAGTTCCTGCAAGATGAAGGCATTGATGCTATGGACTGGCCCACCCGTTCCCCAGACCTGAACCCAATTGAGCACATCTGGGACATCATGTCTCGCTCCATCCACCAACGCCACGTTGCACCATAGACTGTCCAGGAGTTGGGGGATGCTTTAGTCCAGGTGTGGGAGGAGATCCCACAGGAGACCATCCGCCCCCTCATCAGGAGCATGCCCAGGCGTTGTAGGGAGGTCATACAGGCACGTGGAGGCCACACATTACTGAGCCTCATTTTGACTTGTTTTAAGGACATTACATCAAAGTTGGATCAGCCTGTAGTGTTTTTTTCCACTTTAATTTTGAGTGTAACTCCAAATCCAGACCTCCATGGGTTGCTAAATTTAATTTCCATTGATAATTTTTATGTGATTTTGTTGTCAGCACATTCAACTATGTAATGAACAAAGTATTTAATAAGAATATTTCATTCATTCAAATCTAGGATGTCTTATTTTTGTGTTCCCTTTATTTTTTTGAGCACTGTACTTAGATATTTGGTCAAAAGAATTAATTCTTCGTTGTTTGATATGTATTTGGCAATAAAAAAACAGTAAGACTGAAGGTTAATATACTAATAGGCAGTGGTGGTATTCAGCCGGTTTGCACGAGTTCGGGAGAATCAGTAGCAATGATTTGGCCTGGGTTGCTGAACTGGTAGCGACTTCTGGCAGGCCACATCCCTGACTCAGTCACCTGGTCATTGCTCTCTCACCCCTTCTGGCTGCTTGATGGTCGCTCACCTTTTCTGGGTGCTCAATGCTTGCCCTGCCCACCCCGCCCTATATATGTTGCCTTCACCATGTGGTCCAGCTAATGGTCTCTCCAGTTGCCTTGCTGATGCCCGGTCAGCTCTGCTCACCAAAGGTAAGCAATGAATGCCACCCGCTTACTCTTTGGGAGCCCCGGCCAGGGATGCGCTATTCCCAGAGGCCCTGGAGCCGCTGCCTGCCTTGGCCGGGTTGAGGAATGTGTGATTCCCCGATTCTGATCTTTGACCGGAGCCACCACCTGCTCGCTACCCGCTCTCCCTTAAGTGCGACACATCACCCAGTTTCCCCTCCTTCAGAGGCCTGGCCCTTAATCTCCTCACTTCTGCCCCTACAACTGCCTCTTTCGTCGTCTGTAGCCAAAACCTTACCTCCCCACTGTAGCTAGTTTCCAGGGAAGGCAAGCCCGGGCTGAGAGCTGCTGGGCTCCCCACTAGCCCACATCTCGCCCCCCTTGTGAGGTGCCTGCGACCGCTGCCTCTTTTTTGTGTGTGTGAGAAGCCTCTCTGCTGATGCCTCTTTGCCAGCCAGAACTGAGCTGGCTGTTTGCAGGCTTCTTATGCTGAAAAAAAGTGACAGTGGCTGCAGGCTTCTTGCACCGAAAACTACCGGCCTCCGCTTTTCGAACATGCCAAAAAAGTGGCAGTCCCAACGTCATCGCTGCCCTGTTCTTCGCACCAGCCATGCACTCCATTGCCTGCTGTGGCGGAGGAACTTCGCTGGGCAAGCAGCAGGCAATGGTGTGCACCCCGGAGCAAAGAACAGGGCAGCAAGTCCCAGCTTTTTCTTCTTTGCCAGCTGGAACAGAGCCAACCCATCTTCTAGCAGAAGGTCCTGGGACCTCACATGTGCACACATGAGGCCGGGACCTTCTGCGAGGAGATGGTGCGTGGGTGAGTCCCTCCAGCACCGTGAGATGTACACACGCTCTGTGTATGTCCGAGAAGGAGGAGAAGACTTGGGTGAACTTTTATGCCTCCCTTCGCTCTGCTGCTGCTCGGAAGGCAGCTGCTCCAGCTTGTCCTTTAAGGTACTTCGACATGGAAGGGGGACCAAAAAGGGACAGGCAGGGTGCAGGAGCTGCCTTCCGACTCCAAGCCTAGACTCACCATGTTGTCCCCCTGCCAAGAAGCCTGCAGCTGCCACCTCTTTGCTGGCAGGCAAATCCTGTAGCTGCTGCTCCCATCTTAGTTCCGGCAAAAAGTGGCGCGAGAAACCTCCAGCCACCATTTCTTTGCTGGCAGGAGAATCTGCCGGTTCTGGCTGGCAAAGAAGCAGCAAAAACTGAAAGAGGGGAAATGGGGTGACGCATGTGACTGGTGAAGGGAGTGCGGCAGCATGCAGGATTAGGTCAGGCCTTTGACAGATTAGGCCAGGCCTGACTGGGCAAAAAATAGGTAGATAGGTAGAAAAAACTTTTTTTTTTCCTACCGGCTTCTGTGGGCGTGGCTTGGTGGAGGAGGTCATGTGACTGAGTGGGCGTGGGTGTGGGCGTGAGTGACTTCAAGTTGGACATGCCAATTCAGTCACATGACCTCCCCCACCAGGCCACTCCCACAGAACTGGTAGGGAAAAAAATTGAATACCACCACTGTTATTAGGTGTTATCCAAACTAAAAGAAGCATTTCTTTGATGAAATGTTTTTGTATATGACAGCTTGTTTATATTTTTCTTTTCTTCTGCATGCGTGCAAAAGAAATAGAGTGATGCTCAGGTTCTTTTTCAGAATTTTCAGAGTATTTGATATTACATATATTACAGGGATCACAAGAGAACCAAATTTTATTTCCAAGAGAAGAGTGCCTTATTATGACACACAAATTTCAAAATCTTTTCAATGGAATGGAGGTAATAGCTTGGAGAAAGATGCATTATCAGAATTGGAAGTCAATGAGCCAGTCGAATTGCACAAAACCAACAGCAAGGATGTTGAACTGAATAAGGACCCAATTGAGACACCGGATGCACCTAGGCTTCCTGAAAAACTGCATCTCAACTCTGCAGGATCTGGGCCTGAATCAACTGAAGCACTTAGAAGAAGCAAGAAGTCAGTGCCCCAAACTCCAGTGCATGAAAATAAAATATTAGCATCTACCCAAAAAGAATTAGGAAAAACAGATCATGGGGTAGGAAGTAAAAAACAAGTTTGATTTGATGTTGTGAGTTAAAGTTCATTGTAAACAATTCATTGTAACTTTGTTAATACGCACAATACAACCTTCCCTGCCTAGATGCATTCCAGATTCATGAACTTCAATTTGCAGAATTTTCCAGAGAGCCAGGATGGCAATTGCTGGAAATCAGAGCCTACACATCTGAAAAATGCTCAGTTCAGGAAAAGTAATCATTACACTAGGAGAGGTGCAAGAATCTTTGGATTCTAACGAAGGCTAAAGCAAGCAATCCCCTTGAGGGCTTGAAAAAAGAAGGAAGCCATATTTACAGAAAGACGGCTAAAATATCAGGTCAATAGAAAAAACACCAGAAAATTAAAGGATTATAAATAACATAAGAGAAAATCCAAGGAAGAAATATGAAGAAAATTGTAATGTTCTATAATTTTTTACTAAGAATTTAATCATACAAATTTGATAGATTTCCCCTAAACTCCCATATAAGCAATATAAATTAGCCAAAAGGAAAAACATAATAAAGAAGAAGCAGTCAAGAAAGCTAATGTTGACATAATGGTTTAAAATAATTGTTTACAGGTAGTCCTCAATTTATGACTACAATTGAGCCCAAAATTTATTGTTGCTAAATGAGAAATTCGTTAAGTGAGTTTTGTCCCATTTTACGATTTTTCTTGCCACATTTCTTAAGTGAATCACTGCAGTTGTTAAATTAGTAACACAGTTATTAAGTGAATCTGGCTTCCCCATTGACTTTGCTTGTCAAAATGTTGCAAAAGGTAATCATGTGACTCCGGGACACTGCAACCATCATAAATGTAAGTCAGTTGTCAAGCATCTGAATGTAAATCAGTGACCATGGGGAAGCTGCAACCATTGTAAATGTTAAAAATGGCTATAAGTAACTTTTTTGGGTGCCGTTGTAATTTCGAACAGCCACTAAACAAACTGTTGTAAGTTGAGGATTACCTGTCCACGTATATTGTTTCATTATTCAAGTAAATAAATTGCCACTGACTTTATGTGAGAGCCTAAATATTCCCAAAACTTCTGTCATGTTAAATCAAAGTTTAGTTTTGACAGCTAATGTTAATAGGACCAGGGTTTAGGCATAAAAAGTATGTTTCCATTTTTGTGTATAAGAATGCTTGCAGAATGTCATAATATACTTTGCTTTTATCAGCTTAGTTCATCTTAGTATTAATGATAAAAAAACTCTGATATTAGACCACAAAAAGAAATGACATTCTGAAGTTATTGTTAATGTCGATTGTCAGCTCAACAGAGTTCTACAGAGGAGGGCAGGCATGAATATTTCACGATCAAGAAGCTTCCCTAGAAGTTCTGAGTATCAAAGAGAGTTTGTTTGGAAAACCCCACAGAAGCTTTCTCCGGTCCTTGCAGCAGATCAGGTAACTAAGTATTTTAAGAAGTGTTTTCATTTTTGAAAAGTATAGCACAATTTTATAAAGTTTAATATAAAAACAAGCTCAATTTTGCTCAGTGATTTTCTTTGAAGGTAGATTAAAGTCTTAATAAAACAATGTTGTGATACTTGCTCCGTGCAGATTTACTATGCAGGATGTCTTCATTGGGGCTTTTTTTCAGTTATTGTTCGTTGTATTGCATTTTTTTTGTATTACATATATGCTGAATGCTCCATTTTGTTCTAAATATTGTATAATTGATTTTATTAGCTGACTTCTCAGGTATATACTGTTGTATTTTGAGTAGTATTGCCTGAAGGAAATGGCTGGATCATTCCATATCAACTGATTAAGACTTTTCTTCTCTGCAATAATGTAGCAGAGATTAAACATCACTAAGTCTCTTTAATTTCAGTGGCAAAGTTACTTAGTTTTACAAAAATATTAATGTATTTTATAAACCAAAGTTTATTCACAGATCAAGTCAATCCATTCCCCCATTTAAGTCTCCTGTTATTATCCCTGAAACTGAATATGAAAGGAATTTCAAACCTTCATCCTCTATAAAACAATTGAAACAATGCTTTCTGGAAGAGAGTGAATGTCCTAGATCTGAATCAGTGTCCTCTGGAGAAAAGGTGTTGTACTTCATTTATTACCTATTAAAGCATTACGTCCCTTTTCAATTAGCAGTTTCTATACTTAGAATTTCTAATTTGATTGATTCATTTTATGTTCTTGTCCTGGTGATTGTGACACATAAAGAAATGATACATGTTTTAAAAAGATTTTAAAAATATCACGTAGATTTTACTTTTTTTTAAAGTTCTTGATATTTTTGGTCTTATTCATTGAAATATTAAATATTAATTCAAACATTTCAAAATATATTTAAGGCTCAATCTTCATGCCATCAAGTCAAAATTAAAAACATGATATGACAGATATTTACAGACAGTGGTAGATGATTTGGCATGAATATATCAATAGAAACACTAATGGATCTAGAATATTGGGAATAGTATCTTAAGTAACCTAAGAGCCAATGAAGTAATAAAAATGTGAGTAAGTGTGAAAAACAGTCATTTTTATCAGTGCCATTGTAACATTGAATGGTCACTAAACAAGTGTTGTAAGTTGAGAACTATCTGTAATATGATAAATATTACGTACTTCATGATTTACATTTATGTCTATTTGTTTCTACTATTTTCTGATCATATTTCAATCAAATATAACTACATATTTTTACCAGCAGCATAGTATATTCAAATTATTTCTGACAATTATTGAGCTTTTGAAGTTCACGAATATCATACTAAGAGCTATAATCAGTAAGTGTTCTATTGGAAATTTTAAAATAATACAGTATTTATATACCATATAAAATTAAGATTAATCATTGTGTTTAGAAGTTAGATATTTAATAAAATATATATTTTAATAAATTATAATTTATAAAATCAACAATAAAGTGTTTTTGTTATTTTTTTAGAATGAAAAAAATAAAAACACTTCAAAGACCCCAGAAAATTCATTAAAACAAAATGAATTAGAAACAAAACAGAAAGAAGAAAAACAGAAACAGAAGTTGCTGTGTTCACGCAGATGTTTTAAGTAAGTGTAAACATATCAGAATATAAAATGCTTTGAATTCTCTTTTCACTACACATAGTTGTTTAAATACAGTCAACTTTGAAACGAGTAAAAGGAGTATTTTATTATCTCCTGATTATTCGGTCAGTTGAAATGCTTCCTTCCTTCCTTGTGTTTAAGAAATAGGGATTGCTTAATGTCTCCATATGAACCAATGGAGGATTTGGAGATTTCCTGATTCATCTTTTAGTTTATCTCTCTTAGCAAAGTTTATTCTATTCATTGACTTCTAAAATAGAAACCCAGTTTTGTGTACTGGTTCTGGTATTGCCTAGAAATATGGTATCCTTTTTTAAATTATTTTTTATTATGCAATGTCCATTGTTATATATAACATTTCCATATCCACAATGGCAGTGTACTATCTGGGTACAATCTCTTTTAAATTCAAATAACAAACCTTATACACACATTAATTGTAACCATTATTTACTCAATCTATTCATCATAATCTTCACTTATACTTGTTAAACAATTTCCATTATTTAATTAAACACTCTGTTCAGTTTTATCATATAGTTAATTAATACCAGACCTTATAAATATCACACTTGTCGCCATTATCCTCCAATCTATTAATCACATTTCCTTATCCCATTTATTCAACATTCATTATTTAGTTATACACTTACTTCATTTATATTTACATATCCTCCTTGATTTTAATTTTCTAACTTTTGCTTCTATTTTCTATTCTAACCATTGATAAAATAGTTCTCAAGTTAAAAAGTATTCAATGTCCTTCTTATCCTTGATCTTCAAAGTTAATCTATCCATTTCAGCACAATCTAATATTTTCTTTATTACGTTTTCCTCTGTAGGCATATTTTCATTTTTCCAATTATGTGTATACACAATTCTCACTGCTGTTATCACATGCAAAATTAAATATGTAATTCTTTTGCTATATTTTAAAATACCAAACAAAAAAATTTCTGATTTTAATATTTGTTGTTTTGTCATTTGTTCTAGCCACTGTTTTATTTTTGCCCAATATTTTTTTGCCATCGTGCAAGTCCACTACATATGATTTAAAACAGTGGTCCCGAACCTTTTTTGTACCACGGACCGGTACCGGCACCAGTACGCATGACCAAGGCAAGGCGAGCCAAGCAACTGGCCAGCCAGCCGGCCCCTGCTCCCTGCCACCTTCAACTCCTCCTTTGTACGTTCTCGCGGTTGATGGGCTTTTCGGGCTCTTTCTTAATCTCCTCCTAAGTAACGCGAGACTCCACCGCCATCGGGATGGCTCTTCGTTTGAAGCCGCCCCCCCCTTCGAAACTAAGGCGCGAGGATTTCTTCAGCACCCAAATGCCACTTTCCAACCGACCGACAGGCTTACCCGGAAGCACTTTCTCAAGTGCCGTCGAAACAAGATGGTGGTGCCCAAGCAAAATAGGCGGCCTGGTACAAAATGATCCATGGACCGGTCCCAGTCTGGGGCCCGGTGGTTGGGGACCACTGATTTAAAGAAAACCAGTCAGGGGTGGTGTTCAGGGGGTTTGGACCAGTTCTTGCATCCAGGTAAGGAAAATGTTGACTGGTTCAGAGAACTGGTAGGGGAAATTTTGACTGGCCCCATCCACCCACCCCCACTTTTACCTTTCATCTCTCCTATATTCTGTTGTTTGTTAGCTCAGCTGATTCGCATGGCAGAGCAGATTGCCACGTCTCAGATGAGCTAAGAAACAGCTGATGGTGATGGTGTTGCATGCGTGAGAATTTGCGTGTTTGGTGTGACTGGCAACGTAAGAAACATGATAGTCATTGTTGCTGTTATCTACACGTGCGTTCGGTGCGCCCTGGGGAAAGTAAGGAACAGCTGATGGCCAATGTTTGTCCCATTTGTGCGTGAGCGGAGAGGGCAGGAGGCAGAAAAGTTTGGCCAAGTCTCCTCCTCCTCATTTTGTCAGTCCAAGGGCGAAGGGGAGGGGAAGGTACGTATGTAGGCAATCGCCCTGTCTCTGCAGCATCGGTCATGTGATTGAGTGGGTGTGGCCAACTCGACATCACAGCAAGGCGCTGCCTCACCTTGCTGTGAGTGATGTCAAGTTGACCACACCCACCCAGTCACATGACCATCTAGCCACACTACCAAGCCACGCCACAGAACCACAGAACTGGTAGTAGTAAATTTTGAATCCCACCACTGAACCAACCTGGTATCTGTTTACATTTCCAACATTTGGAATATATGTTTTGAAACATCTTTGCCATCCTTGCTGGAGGCAAATGCCACCTATAAAACATTCTATACAAATTTTCTTTATAAGCTGTTGACATTGTCAATTTATAATTTCTTTCTCAAAGTTTTTGCCATTTATCTAATTCTATAGTGTACCTGTTCTATCCTAGGCTTCCCCAAAAAGCACTAAGCCAACTCTTGAGTCCTGTCAAAACCTCTTTTATTAAACAAAGGTGAATTTAGTGCATTTACATTCAGCCAATGGCTTGGCAAACAGTCTTGCAAAGGTATACTAATTAGCTCAGACCTTATCTATACTGGAAAGCTGCCCAGTAAATATTTCCACATGTAGTGCTCACAGGGAAGGGCTGGGTTACACAGACAAATCTTCACGATTGAACAAACGAATAAACAAATGAGTTGTTTCCTGCAAAAGCCCCTCCCCTTTTGCTCCTCTTTTAATCCTGATGGGAGGGCCCATTCATTGTCCTCCTGTGGCCTTACTCCCATGTCGACCCTGAGTTCCTAATTGTTCCTTCCTTTTGGCAGCTCTGTGCATGTGTAGGCTGGGATCCGTCCCTAAAAATATCTGGTCTAGTTCTAAAGGTTCTTTATAAAATCCATACAATTTTGCATCTTTCTTGTATCTTGATTGTATTTGGATGAATAGCTAAATCAAACTATTCCAAGCTATACCAGGCTAAATCAATTCCTTCGTTTTCCAGTTCTTGTTTCGATTTTAATTTCCCTTGTTCATTTAGAATATCGTTATAATTTATATAATATAATTATATAATTTTTCCCAAGTCAACAACATTTGGATGAACTAGTGCGTCCATCTTGGATAGCCAGATTGGTATTTTCATATAATGTTTTTTTGTAATTATTTCCCATACTGAGAACAAAGCATTTCTAATATAATGTCTTTGGAAATAACTATGTATTTTATTTTTCCTATACCACATGAATGCATGGTACCCCAATTGAAAATCATGTCCTTCTAAGGACAGTACTCTTTTATTCCTCAGATTTATCCATCTTTTCACCCATGTGAGCATTGAGGCATAGTAATACAGCTTCCACTCTGATAACCCAAGTCCTGCCTTGTTTTTATCTTCTTGTAACATTGTCAGTTTTATTCTTGCTTTTTTCGCTTGCCAAATAAACTTTAAAATCAATTTGTTTAAATCCTCAAAGGGCTTTTTTTCAATTTTTAATTAATTAAAAATTGTTAATTCCATTGTTAATTTGTTAATTCCATTTTCTCTTTATAGTGCTGTTTTGTGGAGTTTTCTGCAGTTCTATTTCCATTCTTTTAAGATGATCTTGTAGTATTTTTGTTGTCGTTTTTTTTTCTTGTTTCTTTTTGCTATAGATGTTATGGCTGATCCTCGCATGTATGCTTTGGTCGTGTCCCACACATTTTGTAGTGGTTTCTTTTCTATTTTCTTTAAGGAAAAAGCCTCCCTCCCCCCATTATTTGTATAAACTCCTTATCCTTTAGTATAGCCTGGTTCAATGTCCATCTCAATTTCTTCCTTTGTCCCTTCCACCTGTTCTTGGATTATGATCTGCCCATTTGTTTGTTTGTATGTCAACCTTTTGAACATCTAGTCTCGTTCCTGATATTCTTGAGACCTATATATCTGTCTTGAAAAATTGCTTTCTGTTGAAGACACTGTCTTCCCACACAATGTTGTTTGTCTGAATTTCTGTTTTATTCTATGTATTACTTTGATATTTAGCATTCTTATTTCCCTACACAATTACAAAGTAATGTTTAAGTCTTCTTACTTTCAACTGTGTTTTTCTAGGAAAATGAACACAGAATATAGATCGAAATTCTTGTCTCCTAGTCAATACATCTATAAACAAGGAGCCTGGGTTCATGTCAGAAAAAATATACCTTATCAAGTGAGTATGTGATTATTTCTATGGAATTCATTTGAAAATTTTGATATTGTTCATCTTTTTAAAGTTATCCTTTTATTACATGCTATTGTATATTTTATAGATAGTATTATATGGCAGAAAAATGTAGAATAGAATATTTTTACTGAATATTGTAGAACAGTGGTTCTCAACCTGTGGGTCGCGGCCCCTTTGGGGGTCAAATGACCCTTTCACAGGGGTCGCATAAGACTATCACAAAACACATATTTTTGATGATCTTAGGAACTGAGCCATAATTTTATGTTTGGGGGTCACCACCACATGAACTGTATTAAAGGGTCGCGGCATTAGGAAGGTTGAGAACCACTGTGGTAAAACTTAAGTAATGCATTTAATCAGCTGCTGTTTTGTTTTTCTACTATAATATCTCCCTCATTTGATTTGAGGTCTAATGCAGGGGTGGGCTGCTGGGGGTTTGCAGTGGTTCGGGAGAGCCCCTAGCTAAGATTCTATGCAGTTTGGAGAACCCCTGAATCCCACTCCTGGCTGGCTCCACCCATCCCACCCCTCCCCTCCCAGGAGGTCCCACACGGCCCATTTTGGATGCAGGTAAGTACAGGGCATGCGCGGCGGCTTGGGGAGGATGAAAAACGGGCCTCCCAGAAGTTTGGGAAGGCTGGAAATGGGCCCTTTTCTGGCTTCCAGAGAGCCTCCGGAGCCAGGGAGACTGTTTTTGCCCTCCCGGAAGCTCGAGGAAAGCCTCCGAAGCTCAGGGAAACGCCACCCCATGGTGCAGGAGGCCGACTAGGCCACGCCCACCATGGCCATGCCCACTCAGCAACCAGGCAGAGAATCCTTTGCTAAAAATTTTAAAGCCCACTCCTGGTCTAAGGCAGCTCTTTCAGTTTTGATTGGTAAATGTGCTTTTGTCATTTTGTTGATTTTATTTTACTTTTCATGTATCTGCAGAAAACAAGATTGGACTCAGTTACTGAATAAGCAGTTTTGTTTTCAAATATTTCTCCATTAAAAGTTACAGAGGGTTTCCTGAATTAGTTGGAACTGGATTTCTGTAATCAAGAAGACTAAAATAGAGATTAGTTTCATGTGTTACATCTCTTTAATACTTTTTTATGTGCTGAAACTTTGGCATTCTATTTGTTATTAAATAGAGGAAATAATTAGCTTTTAGAGCAATCTGAAAAAAAACAACTGTCTTTTGCAAGTTCTCTGAAATTTTTCTCATCAACTGGTTTATTGAAAAGATGATTTTGAGTTTAGGATCATCGACAAAGAAGAAGACAATAAATAAATATTTAAACATAGAGAAAGATCCTACGTGATCCTGTGTGAACCATTTTTGAAGATCTCCCCTTATGTAAAGACCATATTACAAAAAGAGCAGAACCACATAAATTCACATTAATTGAATATTAAGAACTAATTAAGGAGAGAAAAATCTACTGCTATCTAGGATTCAACTGTAAACCTTCCAAGTAAGAGGTGAGCGTGTTCACCACTAGGCCATCTCACTGCTCTCTCCACAAAAAAAAGAGTGAGGGGGAGAAATAAGTGGACAGTGTGAAATAACTGGATAGCAAAGACAGTAAAGAGCAGAATGGTAACGTCCCTGGGAATCAAAGCTTTCTAGCAGGTTCTGTAGCAATGTGCTCATTCCCAGTGTTCAAGACTTTCTAAACTTTTCAATAACTCTCTCTCCTACCATAAATAATAATTAATCTTATTTAATAATTAATAATCTTCATTTTGAGTTAATATAGTAACATTTAATGTAAAATCTACAAAATGATATAGGAAATTGGTGGAGACACTAAATATTTTAATGCTATGAAACTAATCTTAATATAACTATTGTCCTGTTTTTGATGCTCTTGGGACATCTGTTAGTTTCTGTTTCTGTTATAATACTGTACTCTGCAATTTTTTTAAAAAATGAGAAATGCTGTTGTCACATTTTGAGGAGAGCCATATAAAGGAAACTACCATCGGCAGCTTCTGAAACAGCTGTTTGAGTTTTGCAAAGGATGGAGCTTTTTTAATCATTCAAAAAGAAATGCTTTATTTGTATTCTTGGGTATTGTGAAATAGAATTTGATTTGATGAAATAGTTGTGCTAGGTTATAAAATAATAAAAGGGGTGTGGCCTGTTGTGGAACAACCACCATTGAAGCTAATTCGAACTCCCTCACAAATAACAAAGAACCACAGAACAAAATCCAGAAATCTTCAATTTCTCTTCCCTTGGCTAAAGTCAGTATTCCCCAGGAAACCAGTAGTAAAAATGAGATTTATGGAACAGTAACAGAGGAGCAACTGTTTTATTTAGTTTGGTAGACTGATGCTATGGAAATAACAATATATATGTAAAAATGGAGTTGTTGCTGTTCATTATTCAGAAAATGTACTATGCATCATTTTACCATTTTAAAATATTTATTCAATCTGATGGATTAGAGTAATACTGTTCATTAGATATGCTATATTTTAAATTGAATTACACTTCTGTAGTGTGAACTCTAGGAGGCAGGATAATAATATAGTCATAGCAAAATGGAAGAAATCATTTTAGATTTTGAAGTAAATTTGTAATATTAATACAAAATTGGTAAGTAAATATGGTTTATTTTTTTTTATTCCTCTCCTCAGGGTTCTCAAAATACCCTAAATACCATGTGGTATATGGAGGTTGGTTATGTCTACATTTTTCATGTTTGGGGCAATTATAAAAATTATATTACAAATCATAAAATTTATGAATTGTAAAAAAAACCTATTGTTATATTAAGCATATGCATAGTTGGAGTCCTTTTGATGCTTGCTGAGTAATTTACTGACCAGTGATTGTTGGCATGACTGCTTAAAAGAAGCATTCTTTAAAAATATCTTTTCCTTCGATATTTGTGCTGCAATGTTTGTGCGTTGTCTGTGACATGCTGTTCTGTGCTGTGGGTGGTTGTTAATTAGCCAACAAAGTTGACCAAAAAACCCCTTCCATTAATAACAGTGTGAAATTTTCATAATCAGGTGAGAGAACTTCGAGAAAAAGCAGAAGCTTATAAGCAGAGGATACAAGGAACTCACTTTTCCAGAGATCATTTAAATCAAATCCTGTCAGATAACAATAGACTCTGGGATTTGTCCTCTGAATCCAGTGTGGAAGAAACTATGAGCAACAATATCAGAGCGCTTGACTTAGCAGGGTAAGAAATTAGACATGGAAGGTTGTGTTTTAAAAATGTGGTATTTTGGGATAGAAAATTAAACAAGGCTGGGCCTGGTTAATATTTAGATGGAAAACCTCCAGATAATCCCTTAGCTATAGGCTAGACTGGAATTTTTTTTTAAAAAGTATCTTAAAAGAAAGTGAAGATATATCAATCATTTACTGCATGAATATATCCATGAAGTCATTAAGATTCAGGCTACATCCAAAAACATTTTAACTACAATATGAGCATATTATTAAATATTTCTTGACTTTTGCATTTTTTTCAAAGTAAATTTGATTAAGAATATGTAAAATAAAGAAGTCCTTGAGTATTGTATTTAAGTGTGCATTTACGTGTACAGTAAGTGTACAGAGAATTCAAAAAGATTTTAGATACTCACAAAGATTGTCAAGCCCATAACTGTTTTCCCCCCTTTCCTTTATTTTAGCAGATTGCTAACATATATTGCAAAACTTCTTTGAAAATCTGGTTTCCATGTGACATGGAGATCTTTTCTTGATTTTCAGTTCAAGCCTCTACTGTCAGATAGCTATCGGTAGTTGTATAGTTCTCCTTTGGATTGCTTGATTATTAAATTTGCAGATGAGTATAATTGAAAGATAAATGTATTTAAGTTGATATAACTGCGATTACTCATATTTTTGAGGAAGATCCCAAATATTTCTGACAATATATAAATGGCTACTAAATCTTATATATAACAAATTGTTATTCTTTATTTAGGGTCCCTGAAAACAAACTATCTTCAGGTCTTAAAATATTGGCACAATCTGCACAGTTGCAGCAAAATAACATTGGAAATTTAGGTGTATCAGATGCTTCTATTATTCCTGTCAAGCGATGCCTAGTTTGGGATGAATCACATGATGATGAGCAACAAGAAGATACATCACCTATATTAGGAGAATGCAAAGAAAAAGAAAAGCAAGAAACTGATGAAGTTAAAGAAGTGGGAGAAAATGGCAAGGATGCCAGTATAGACAAACAGCAAAAGTAAATATTTGAAAGATTATTTTTCCTGTTTGAAATTACGGGGCTATTTAGTTCTATGATTAAACAACTCTTACTGTGTTTCCCCAAAAATAACATTTCGTCTTATATTTTGGGGGGCTCCAAAATAAACACTAGGGCTTATTTTCAAGGAAACAGGGTTTCAGGGTGATCAGCCCAGATGGGTGCCCATCTCCCAGCACGCGCACAAGATGTAGCAAGCGTGCAGTGATGGACGGTATCCGGCGACACCTGCAGACCGCTGGTCCCTTGATCATTGCATTCAGGCTGCATAGCTCACACAGTGCAGGTGAATTGTTCCCTTGCCCAAGCAACAGATGCAGGGAGGCAGGCGATCTGGATGTGCCACACGGGTTGCAAGAAAGTTGAGAGTCAGTGGGCTGGAGTGGGTGGTTGGCCACGGGAAGCTCATCTTCACACAGCAACACCAGTGGCAGATGGAGGCAGAGGCGTTGGGTGGAAGGCAGACAATCCCAACGCGCCATGCGGGCCGCAGGCAAGCTGAGAGATGTGAAGAGGAGCCTCCTGTGGCTGGCTGCCTGCTTTGGCCCACTGACTCTCAGCTTTCCCACAGTCCAACTGATGCAACCAGATAGTGTGCCTCCCCCCATTTCTTTATCTGCTTGCTGCTTGGACGGAATCAGCTCACCTGTACTGTGCGGGCTGCGGCTGCTGCTGGACACCATTAGCCTGCAGCGCTTGCCGCCTCCTATGCTGACCACACCCAACCCTTCACTAGGGCTTATTTTTGGGGTGGGGCTTATATTAGGCACACACTTAAAAATCAAGCTAGAGTTTATTTTCAGAGTCTTATTTTGGGGAAACACAGTAGCTGGAGCAATGTTAATTTCGCCATTAATGGGGAGCTCTGATGCATTGATATAAATAAGATTAGATATATTATGTCAAATAACTTGAGCTAGAATTTGTGTATATAAATTCTAATAGGTAATATACCTTAAGCAAATATTCAAATAGCACACTCATTCATATATTGTTTTAATTCTGATTTGCAAACATTGATAAAGCAACCTTTTTCTGATTTGAATGCAGCTATAAATAATGACTTACCTAAATTAAAGATGATTCACTGACTTAATCCAATGTTTTTTTAAAGTAACATCTGTTTAAACATATGAAGAAAAATTACATAATCATTATTTCATAGATATTTATTAAGATAAATGTATCATTTGAAAATTGTCTGGGATGACATTTAATAAGCATTTGTAGGACAGTAAAGTAACAATGTAAAAAATGGTTGCAGTTGTATTCTTCAAATGTAATAAAGGAGAAGGCACAGTTTAGAAAATGACAAGATCGATGATTGAAAATCAATCTAATTATTTCAATTGAATGACAAAATTTACTCTAGATTTTATAACAAAATCCCAAATAATCTTCAAAAACAATTATAAATTCAAAAAAAGAAACAGAATTCAGAGATTGGGGATAATAACTTGGAAACTCTGTTGTGGTATCTTGTTTGCGACTCAAATAATTCAGAACTTATGCTGACTCAGTATTTTAAATAATTGTTCATTGAATAATTATATTTTATGAAATTTCTTATTTATTTTGCCACGGAAAATGTAAGTTCTTCAGAAGGCAAGGCAGATTCTTCAGAAGTTTTAAGAGCATGTGGTAGGCTTCCAACTCCACAACTCAAAACTCTTGGTGGAATTCAAAGAACACATCATGATCTGACAACCCCAGCTACAGGTAAAAAGCCTGCTAGTTTTTATTTAACTTCCTAAAATGTGAATTAACATGCACCTTAAGAATTCATTTTATGTTAAATTAATTTTAATACTGGTAAGAGCATAAATTGTGATGATTAATTGATTAAAGCCAGTCTAGCCCAATATTCTGCTCCAATGTGAGTGTAGAAAATAAGGAAGTTGATAATCAAGGTCATTTTTACTCTCAACAGTAACTACCTAGGTGCCCCTGGGAAGTCTACAAGCAGAATATGAATTTAGTAGCCTCCCTTTTGCATTTCTATACTTCTACTGTATATTCAGGTGGTATAGTATTTTACATATTAGAGATAATATATAAAATATCCACAATTAGCAATCATATTCTTCATTTTTATTTTAGGAGGTGCTATTCTAGTATCTCCTCAGAAAGGGAAGCATACATCCTTACTGCAAATAGAAAAGGAATCTTCAGAAAAGCAGTCTTTGGCAAATAGTCAAGTTTCAAGAGAACAAATAAAAGGAAAAACTAACAGGGTAAGATATAATTGCTGTAATAAATATTTGTAACGTCCTTTTTTGCTTCCTATAAAATTTAAAATTGCAAAGGAAATTATAATTTTGTTAAATAAGAAACTGTAAAGTAGTACAGGTAGTTCTTGACGTATGACCACAATTGATTATAAGTCTTGATGATTGTAAGTCGAAGCACCCATGTGACTGGACCCGATTTTACCATAGATTTTATGGCAGTCATTAAAACTCAGTCATAAGTGGGTTTTTTTTGCCCCAAATGGACAAAAAATGTAGCAAATTGCAGTTTTGTTATTTTAGGATACTGCAACCAGTTGTAAATGTGAACTGGTTGCCAAGTGCCTAAAATGCAGTTGTGACCACTGTGGGGATAGTGCATCATTTTTTAATGACCCGAAGTGCTTTATGGACTGTAAAGCACCCTTTCCAAGGCCACCATAACTCCAAACTACCATTAAATGCCAGTTGTAAGTCGAGGACTACCTGTAGCACTGGGGAAATTATATATGGCTATAATGAAATCTGAAACAGTTTATTTCCTGTTTTAAAGTTGACTTAATTGATTAGAAATAGTGATATGCAGAAGAATGATTTAGGGAATAATGTGTATGTTTACTCCAACACCCTTTATCATAAGTCTCATTTTTTTAATCTTGGCAAATGGTTGTTGCTTTCCTCAAACTTTTGTATCAATTTATATTTCTTCAATATCTCACCTCTTTCATTTTGACAATCTCACTAAGTCTTAACAACTATGACCTTCTGAATTTTATCCTGGCTGTTAATCTATTTATTCTTCTTCCACATATTGGTTGCATAGTTTGATAGACATTTACTTTCTTGTTATGATCAAACTGCCTAAACAAACATTTTGTACTGGTTATAACCAGGAACCTATATCCATAGTACCATCAGCAGACATATACAACTGTCACTTCAGTATAACAAAATCAGCAGCACCATAAAAATCAGTTGATTTTGTTTCTTTTTTATTTATTCTTTGAAATAGACACACTTTTTAATCACATTTCCAAATCTTTCCATTTATCAATATTCCTATTCTTTTAATTTACTAAATATTTTTCCAACTTACATAAATTAATCCACTAGCTTGGTTTTATCATTTAGGTATATCTTACACTTATTGGCTCCATTTTCTGTGTCAATTATATTGATAAATTACTTTTCAAATGTAAACTTGTTGTGTAAACTTGTAGCATACTGTTTAAATCATTCAGGTTCTCAATAACATGGCATCATTATAGAAAAGTACATGGATTTTCACATTCCCAAACAAAATTCCTTTTAACGAACAAGCATTTGTACATTTACACGTTATGTCTTTATCAATAAATCATCCAGGGCAACTGTGTACTTCTGTTGGCAAAATAACTGTCTGAAAACTGAATAGAAAAGAACGAAATTGGTATGAATGGAGAAGGTGGCAAAAAGATTAAATTTAAAAAATAAACTTGCAGCTGATGAAAAAAATACTGCAGGGAAAAAGCTTTCAATATATCACTTTGGGAGAAAGCTGTTGACCCCTCCATTTTACCTCCAACCAATGACATAGGGTGGACATATGCACATATACATGAGAAGGAGAAATCTGACACACAGAACAATATTGTATTTAATTACATAGAAGAAAACAGGCTTTCTGTGGTCATTTCTGGTAAAGGAGCTGTAAAGAATTCAAAAAGCCATGCTTTTTCTAACTTGTTATTAACTCAGTCCCATTGCTGGAGTAGTCCTTTTCATAGCTTCCTAAACATTTTTTTTAAACAGCTCTACATTTTTAATGTCTTTTTAAATCTTAACTGTTCCTTGCTTTCTTTGATTACGTTCTTTGTAAATAATTTTTGTCTATGTGCACATTATGCACATTTCTCTTATGTTTACTTTTTGAAAAAATTCTTTTATATACATTTTATTCTCATGCAAAATTTCTTTAACTTCATAATTCTACTAGGCATCCTTATTTGTATTTCCGATTAGCATCATTCTTGGAGGTTTTCATGTCCTCTTTGCTTGAGTCACCTTTTTCATTCTGTTTGGAGATTACAGGTAGTCCTCGATTATGACTATTTGTTCAGTGACCATTCAAAGTTACAATGGTACTGAATGAAAGGTAATTACGACTGGTCCTTGAGGTTCTGGCTGCTGCAGTGCCCCCCCCCCCCGATCACATGATCAAAATTTGGGCACTTGCAACTGGCCTGCATATATGACCAGTTGCAGCATCCCATGGTCACATTATGCTGCTCTGGTGTCTATTCTCCCACCTGCCTGTCTCTTCCTCATCTGTGCCTTTCCCCACTCCGTCCTCTTCCCTGGCTTTTGTTGTCTTTTTCTACTGCTGGTCTGAGTTTCAAGGCATGGGTGAGGGCACAGATCTGGGACATGTTGCACCAAGGACATGTGCACGTAGCTTCACTTGCCAGAGGGAGGGAGGAGGCAGTGGGTGGAATCCTATCCCACTGTGATCTCTACAGGCATCAACATTCCATGCATCAACATTAGAACACAGGGTTCCTCCAACTACTGTATCCCAGTGCCTTCTCCCCACCTCTGGAAAGCTGTCTTCAGCAAGGACCAGCAGTGAAAGGGAGAAGAAGTGTGTGTGTGTGTGTGTGTGTGTGTGTGTGTGTGTGTGTGTGTGTGTGTGTGTATCTCAGTTCATTGCAAAATCCATAATCCTTTTTGGTTATTACATATTCATACTCTGAAAAATTATATGTAATACAATGATATATTTATTTACTATATAAATTATAGCACACAACTACATGCAGGATTTCTGAAATCTCTACAGAAAAAGCAGTTACTGTAAGGCACCTTATAGTAAATAAATTATAAACAAAGTTTTTTAACAAGTTCTATTAGAGATAGCAAAACTTTCCAGGTTCACAATGCCTTTATTTAAAATTTGAAAGTAATTTATTTCAACCTTACCAGAAGTGTTTGAGTGCTGCTTTTATGATTGAAGTTTTCAAACTCAAAACAACTGTTTTGAGCACAAAATGTGGTTGTCTCAAAGCTTGAAAACCTTTTGCTAAAGTTGGAATAGATATTTCAAATTTAGATCAGATCATTTTGAATTTGAAACGGAGTTTTTTTAGCTTCAAATTTGGGATGAGGTATTTCATGTTTGAAAGACTTTAGAATTCAGAAAGTTTTGCACATCTCTTTGAGTTACTGATAAGGCATACAAAACAGAAGCATGGCTGATAGCTTTCATTTGATTACTTTAAACTGTTTTCACTTGTTAAAATACCAATTATTACGACGGCTTTTGGGGTGTTTTGTTAACATTAGGGATCATAGCAAATAACAGAATTATTTACAATGGGAATATTTGTTTTGGCATTTTAGGGTGAAGAAAAGACTGTGACTAATTCCCCAGCTGCAGGGCTAAAAACTTTGGATCCTTTGCCTCTACGAACAGATCAGTACTCCAATCAAGATACTTCTGGTACAAGAAACGGTGCAACATCAGTGCATTCAGAGCAGATGCCTACAGTGTCAGAAAGAAAGCTGGCTAAGGGTTCTGCTGTACCTTATTGGAGTCCATTGTGTCGCATTCAAGGAAGTCTCCGGGATCCAGAGTTTCAGCATAATGGTTGGTTTCCATCATACATCTTTATAGTTCTTTAGATTGACCTATTTATTTAAAATAACTTTAATATTTTGTTGCAATAACAGTAACCAATAACCAAATTGCAATAAATTGAAATATAGGTTTGCATCGAACAGTACTTGATAATGTGATTATCCTTTGAAGAATAATGATAAAAAGAAGAATATAACTTACAGTACATAGGCAGAAAGTTAGTTACTATTGGTTTTAGATTCAGATAAATGCTTGCAGCTATGTAGACTGGTTTCCTCAGTCTAGCGTCTTCCAGTTGTGCTGAGCTTTCAAAAACCTTAGAGCAACTTGTTACGGTCAGGTTTAGGAAATATGTGGCATATCAGGATATGATCCATCCTGGATCTATTTTGGAGTGTTCATAACTATTTTTTACTAAGCAGCTGGCAATGTTTTCTTTAAACAACCTATTCTGAAAATATAGTGTACATCATTCTGTCATCCCTATATGCTATCATATAGTGATATATATATAACATTGAGTCAAAATTTGCTATAATTTAGATAACATTCTAATTTAATTTACTTTTACAAAATAATGTATTTCTGAATTGATAAAATGCAGTAAATTATACTTTTTCTAATAGGTACTATTGCAAGCCCCAAAAGGAGCTGGTTACAGTTACCCCTTCAGGAGAGAAACTATCATGATGAAGGTTGGTTAATAAATTTCAGATATTGTTTAAATAATAAATAAAACATGTAGTAATAATTACTATATCTTGGTAAGAGATAGGCAAGACATACCTGAACAGGTACTGCTTGCTTACTACTAAAGTTAATGGAATGGAAGTTTCTTGAATAGCAAGGTTTACCTATTTTAGACATGGTTAAAATGGAAATTTTTCATTTGAAATGTTTTGGAATGATTTCATAACTCTTTTTTTAAACTAAGCATTTGAAAGCTTATTAAATTCTTAAGGATTACTAACTTTCATATATAGTTTAATTTTGTGATAAAAATATGGATGTAGCTACTGTCCAGTTTATCTTCTAACAAAGCTTATGGAAGACATTTGGAATCAAAATGTTTTCTTCGAAATAAAAAAAACCTGCTGGCTGATGGATACTTTATTTTATAGCATTCCAACTTCCAGGTTTTTTTTAAAACCTGAAATAATTTTAATAAATATGAAAAGGCAGAATATGATAATAAGAAATGTCCATGGGCACACTGGCACTCCCAAACAGCACATATAGGATTTCAATTACCGCCGGGAGTTTGACATTAATTTTAACTGATAGCCTGCAAGCTATTACAAAGACCGGAATAAGAAAAAATAAAAATAGTAGAATGCAAATCAGCCAAGATGCTATTGGATCCTTTTAAAGATAAAGATGGCACCAATGAGAAAATGATAGTTGAACAGTAGCTTCAAAATTGTGCAACAAAGAACATATAAAGTGGGTGAAAAAACTATCCTGCTCCAGTTTAAAAGCCTTCAAAAACTATTTCAATAATACCTTTTGACCATATGCTCTAAGATTGATATGTAAGATTGCTGAATTGCCTCATTTGGCAAGATTAGTCTTTTCTGAAAATAGAGCAATATAAAATGGGTGGCAGTGAGTTTAAAAATATTCATGAGAAGATAAAATTACTTTATACAGATTTGGCACAATTTTTATATCTGGAACTATTGGTGGGTTAGAAAATTGTGTCATAACCACTAAAGAGGAAATACAGTATTTGAAATGTAATTTTCTTTGTAACTTGGCATTTTTATGTACAGTCATGATTTCTTGCAGTAAAATAAAATCAACATTTGCTGATTTTTGCACTGCAAAGCATAACGTTATCTTACAGGGCAAATTGTTATGACTGCAATACCCCTAAATAAGAAAAGGGAAAATTTGACAATACTTTGCCTGAATCTGATCCATGCATCTGCATACACAAAATTTGTATGCTGAAAGAAAGAAAAAGAAAGATCTTCTGCAACTTCAGACTTTCTGACAATTGAGACTGGAAAACATGGGGCTTGTTCAAATTGTTTAGCAAAGCTACTGAAAATATTGAAACATTTTAGAATTATCAGATCCTTATCTATGCCTTCCATTTTCCTAAACTTTTTGTGATGATAATTGTTCAGACATTACAGGTCGTACGTGGGTTTCAGTGGCAATTGGGACTGGGATTGCTGTTGGCTAAGCGACGTCATAGCATAATCACATGAGTGCCTCACTTAGCAACAAAAATTCTGGCAGTTTTAGTTGCTGTCATAAATCCAAAATGTGTGGGTCATTAAGCAGGAAGCTGCAGGAGGCTCAGGTAAGGAGTGTGAAGAACTCCATGCGGAGACAGTGCTAAGAAAAGCCTGGTGCAGGTTATGAGAGCAAGAAGGCTGCAGGTCAGTGCTACAGGGAAGCCGAAGGGCACTTACTGGTGCGACTTGCCATTTTTCCTGCAGCTTGCCCATTGACTTTTTGTGATGATGATGGGGCACAGTAAATATCTTAAGTGTGAGTTGCCTGAATTGTGACCATGTGACTACAGTAGTGGTAGAACATTTGGAACTTCCAGAACTGGTTACAAGTATCACGCATTCAAGTGCTGTTGCAAGAATTGTCAGTGAATGAATGGTCAATAAGTAGGGACTACTTGTATACCTTTGCTAAATAGGAAAGCAAAGATGACGAAATAATCAAGGATCATTAGCAGTAGGGCTTTCAGGATTTGAATATCATAGAAGTCAGGTTATTTTTAATGCACACATTTATTTTGCATAGTCCTCATGGTGAATCTTTATAATGTATGTTTGCCTATGGTGGTTACCAAGTTTTACTGTATATACCTTACAAGATCTGGCTCCATTGGACCATTATAATTCATCTAAATTGATTCTGTGTCTCTGTAGAACTGTGTTCAGAACCTTCTAGAATTTATCAGATTGTTCATCAGAAGTCCCCATGTATACCTGCAGCTAAATACAGTTTTCACTATTTTGCTTTGACCATCAAATCATTAGCAAAATATTTCTGATTGTTCTTCAGTTCTGTTTTATTTAAATGATTTCCCTCTCTTATTTTTAACTTTTTAAATATTCTCCAAAACATAATATTGAAGTGTTATTCATTGGCCCATTTTGTCCTCTCATGATAACCCATGCAGTGTAGTGTACGCTAGTTAGAGATCGCTTTCTGACTTTAGACAACGTTTATTTCACTAATGTTTTTTGCTATCTATATTTTGGGTTTATTTCATAATAACACTGATTTTCATATCATTATTGTTCCTTGTACTTATAGATGATGATGACAGACTGTCCCAGTTGTCTGCTCGATCTGCTGCTTCTGGTTCTCTTGCAGCTCAGGTTCTAGAACGAGCTCAAAGAAGAAAAGAAAATTTCTGGGGCAAGATGTGATTGAATTTTGCTGTGCTTGTAATTTGTTTTATAGTAGGGTATTTTAACTTTTGCTAGAAAAAAAATGTTAAATCCCGAGGGTTTTTTTTTTACCAATAAGGGGAAAGGATCTGATTTAAGAATGCTGCATATTCAAATACTCTTTTTTGACTTGGTTTAATACTCAAGTACTTGATTTGAAATATCAACGTATCCAAAATATGCATTCTACCTCACTCTCAAAAAAGCATTACAAACAAATAGACTACATCATAAGGTATTTTTACTTAATGAATTCCAAAGGGCTTCATATCACTTTTAAAAAGCAGTGAAATGGTGCCATATTATAAGTTTCAAGAAGTCCTTGATCTTATAACAGAAATGCAACATTAAACATAACCAATGAAAAAGTTATGTGAAAGCAAAAAAAGATGAAACAACTATAAAGGATTATTTGTGTTATTCTTATATTACTCAGCAAGCCTAAATATTTTTTTTAGAAATCTTCATTCATTACATATATATATAACTTTTAGTTGGATTATTTATTATTAATCTCTGTGTTCCAGCATGGACCATCAGTTTTTATTTTTGATAGATCAAATACAGTTTTTTTAAATTCTACAATACTAAACTAACTTTGCCCAATTGGATGATCTTTCAAGATCTCAAGACTCCTATACTTCCCAGCCATTAGGACCAATAGCCATGTTGTGGGGAATTCTGGAAATTATAGTTTAGAAAATTTGGGGAGAAACCAAGTAAGGGAAATTTTTAAAGCAGTTTCTATTATGAAGTTATCATGAACAATACAGTCACAAATATTACCGTCATAATCAATTTTCAAATAATTACTTTGGCATTTCAGTATTGCCCACCATTCTCCTTTACCTCAATATTTATATCATGATGACTAGCTTAAAACTGAAGTCTATTGCATTTCAGATTGTAATATTAACATGACTTAAATAATAGAGCACATGAGCATGTATTACTTGTGTGATAGTTCAAAATTTCAGAGAAGATGCATTCTTGGCAATCCATTTTCTTGAGTTTAAATCATAAGCTAGCCTTAGATTTTGTACATGAGAATCATTAGCCAAACTTAAGAGTAAAATTTGTTTTAAATATTATGTTTAGGGACTACTAATTCTTCCCCAAACTCTGGTAATTTGATAAAGCTGAATTAGGGATATGGTTCCCTAGCTGTTGGATACCAAGTTTCATAATTTGTAGTCAGTGTGACTATTGGTAAGAGAAATATTTGAATCCAGGAAGTTCTAGAAGCAATATATTTTTGGTCTTATACTTTAATAATTCAGAAATTTTCTTGATGTAATTATTGCATTATTGTAAAATATAGTTTTAAATTAGAATGAAAAATTATAGTTAAATATGCCAGATATAATTAGTTATTTTCACATATACTATTATTATATTAAAAAGATAGGATTTGTGCAAAAACCTTTGACTTTTCTGTAATATTTTAAACTTGGTTAGATTTGTGTGATAGGATTGTACATGCTTTAAAATTGAGTAATATTTTTGTATACCAAAAAAATCTTAATTAGAAATGTTTATATCTGTGCCACATTTTCATGTTTCTTGCAGTATCATTGTTTTAAAATAAATTTCAGTTAATTCAACATTTTGTTTTATTTTAAAAGACATATTCATACTATGTACTAATACATTTAAATTGTATTGAAACATTTCGAGAAACAGAAAATCTTGGTGTCTTCATTTGCATATCAATCCAGAAATTATGTGTAGGTCAGATAATTACATTTTCAACTCTGCAAAAATCAATTTTATGAGATAGGTTTAGTTGAGGAAGAAAATCATACAGGAATTTTTCAGTCATTACTTCATTTTGTTAATGTTCATATAACAAGTAATGACTGAAAAATTGCTGCTGAACCATTCAGTCTGGTTTATCTGAAAATGATCCCAACTGATTCATTAATGTAACAAATTGATTATCTTTGGAAATTTTGGTCTTTCACTTTGGGTCCAAACAAAGCAATTGCTTATTTTGAATACAATAAATGAGGGTTTTGCTTATTTAATTCTGTCTGCCAAACAGAATGAGTGTACCATTTTCTTAGCGCAGTGTTCCTGGAAATATTTATGTATTCAGATTTCTGGCACTCCTGCCTGTATTTAATCTCTCTAATTTGAATGAATATATTACAACCCAGAAATGTGGTTATGACATAGTTGCTGCATTGTAGCATTGATAATCATTCCATATTCTGGAAAGTTAGAAGAGGGGATTACATGATTCCTGGACACTGCAACAGTCATAAATATGAGTTGTCAAGCATTCAAATGTAAATCATGTGACCATGGGAAAGCTACAACAGTTGTGTGAAAAATGATAATAAATTACCTTTTTCAGTGATGTAACTTTGAACAATCACTAAATGAACTGTTGTAAGTCAAGGACTACCTGTATCATAAAAGTTCTCAAGAAACAGAACGCACACCACAAGTTATGAAATATACCCTTAATGGCTTTATTATAGGATTTCCAGAATGGATTTCATGCACATACTAAGAAAAATATTTTGGCCAATATGGTAACTAGTATGTGTTGCTACTAGCTTTAACTTTCCCTGAGCTAGGTATGGGGTAGGGACAGGATCCACTAAATGCTGAATTGTGGAGACATTTTTTTAAAAAAAATTAAGACAGTTTGTCCCTTTGCAATCTTCTCCCTGCAGCCCTGCTTTTAAATCCTGTGTGATATATAATATGGGATGTTTTCAATTTGTTATTTATTGTTATTTATTCATTAACCTTATATGCTGACCATTTTATTGTCAAGGGACTCTGGGTGGCTTACAGCATCATAAAAGCAAGTATACAAAACATTAAAAATTAAAATGAACAAAGGCTATTACGGTAAGTTTAAAACCAGAATAAAACAGGATGAGAGTGGGATATACTTCCTACTCCATTCACCACCTCTGACATAAGACACCCCCATTGGGCATCATCTTCTATTTCAAACCTGGAATTTTCAGTGTTTCTGTAAGAATAGTTCAATCCAAATGTATTTGTATTGGATGATGGTGTTTGATGGATCCATAATTGCTATCTGAAATATTTGACGAGCACAAAACAAGGTATCAAAAAAATAATTGCTTGGATTTAGTGAACTGGCCTCTTATCCAGTTGTCTCACACATGAACCTTCATGGGTTGCAGCTTTTTTGTTTTCCTCATCTTATTTTTCTAAATGAAAATGTAAGGTTGGAGTTACAACAATTTTTCAGAGATCCAAGATTGAAATCAATATTGAAAACAGTTAACTGTTGTTAGCCTCTTTTCTTTCAACAGTTTGTCACCTTTACTTTTCATTATCAAGAAATAATTTATATGGTATGAAGAAGGCTAAATTTTACTATGTAGCCTTTATTTTCTGATGAAAATCTTAAAATTCTTTTCTGATTATGTCAACATCCATCTTGAATATCCACATCAGTCCATGTCGAGTGAAACATTGGCAGTTATGTGCCTTTTTGTTTTCAACTTGTCAGATTAATTAACTCTACATATAATAAATTAAAACATTACAATTAGTTTGTATAATATTATTACCTTTTATAAAGTTACTGATTTGCATCATTTTTGTGCATAATTTCACCAATTCTGTACCGGCTGCTCAGAAGAAAGTTTTGAGTTCTTTGGGTTTCTCCAAACCTATAGTCTCACCCTAGTGCCGAAAGGCAGCCCTATATCTAGACTACTTTGCTTGGTACCTGCCAAGTTCTCTGCTCTCCAGTGCTTTGGTTGGAAATGCACTCAAGAAAAGGCAAATTGTTTTGATAGAAGTATCATGGCTGAGTAGTAGGAGCAACCTTATGAGTTTTGTCTTCAGGTAAATGGCTGTTTTGTAAATTACCATATGCATCAAAACATCGTAATTGATCAATAAACAAGTATGTGAAAGCTCTACTGATATGTGCCCATTAGCCCAAAATGTCCTTGCAGTTTTCCATAAATAATTTTAGGATGCAGTTCTAAATCTTTTAATAAATCACTGCTTAAGAAACACCACTTTAAAACCGCTAATAAAGAAGCATTCATGTGCCTAAATAGGTCATCAAATGGAATATTATCATACTTTCTTTGATGGTAAAAACATGAAAGGAATTGTTATATCTAAGTCACTGCATTTATAGCTGCTATGTGGTCAGTGAATCACCCATCTCAGAAACAGATAAAAATAGGCCTACATTTAATATGATGGCTTACACCTAATTTTATGTGCTTATTTATTGCAAAGTGATTTTTGAAATTATCAGATTGTACAGGATTCTGATCCTTGGAAGCCTTCCTGCTTTATGTGGTTCTTGGAGATCTTGATTGCTAAAGATCCCCACCATTCAAAAATGTGTGAATGTGTATTGCAAAGAAATAAGCACAAATCAGTAGATGGGAAGGACAGAACAATTTGTGGGTGCACAATTTCAGAATTTGAAATGGATCCAGAGCAGAAGGTAAAGTAATGCCCTTGGTATCTATCAAACTTTTAAAATTGAAATTAAATAAATAATGGGGAAGCTGACATACTATAAAGCAGCCCATTTACTTCAGACATAATATTTATCCAAATGTATCTGGGCCATACTTCGGTTTTGCATACAGGCTTAGAAAATAAATATGTCTGGAGGGTGTAGTCATTCCCCCCCCAAACCTGAAAATTAAGGCTAGGGTAGTAAGGTACTTGAAAGCACCCTATTACCTAGTAGACCAACATCACAATTTTGTCTTTTGATTTGGTCTTAAGTTGCCCTTCTAGCCATTTCATTCCTCCCCTCCCCAATTAGACCAGTCAACGTTATAGGCAAAGAAATGGCAATTGCAAGCAGAATCATTCCTCCCTTCCATAAGTCAATTAGGCTCCCTCCTATAATAATCACTGTAGATCAGAGGTATCAAACTCAATTTTATTGAGGGCCGCATCAGGGTTGTGTTTGACCTTGGAGGGCTAGGGTGGGTATGGCCACTTCAACGTCACTCGTGTTGGAGGCGCCTGTGGTGGCCTGAGCACTCTGCCAGCGAAAACAGGATCCTGAGGTCCGTTTTCGGCTGCCACGGCCTCCTGCAACTCTCTGCCAGTGAAGGCGGCCCTCCTGAGCTCCATTTTCACTGGCAGAGGATTGCAAAAGGCTGTGGCAGCCGAAAACAGAGCTCAGGATCCTGTTTTTGTTGGCAGAAGCACCATGGGCCAGTCCTTTGCTGTTTCCAGGGCGGCCCCATGGGCTAGACCTCAGTATCCCGTGGGCCGGATATGGCCCCTGGGCCTTGAATTTGACACTCCTACTGTAGATGGTCATAAGAATATTTTCTGCTAACTGGGTCAATAGCCATAATGTGTTCAGATAGTTCAGGAACAGCCAGTCTTGGTTTCATGGGTATAGAAATCATAATACTGTATTTGAGTTAACTGCTGATATTAAGTAAATAATGTCCTGGTAGCAGTGCCTTTTCCTACAAAGCAACCTAACCTATTTCAGACTGTCCATGGATGCTTTTTATGGTCAGAATAGTTCTATAGGAATGTGGTGTATACCACACTTCTCATTCAGGGTGAGCATCTATTAAAGATTTCTATCAAACATCAGATGCATGGCTGAAACAATTTTCAGATTGGATTCAACTCAGATCACAATATTTAAGAAATTTGATGTAAATGTAGAAAGTTAGTCTGAAAATCCATGTTTGTAACATTAAATATTTGAAAAGTTTTTTAAAAAAATATCTAATCTCAGCAAAATTCTACTGTGTTTCCTGTTTCTGTGGTTAAAGAGATAAGAAAGATAGGTTTTCTGGAGAGATTAGCTACAATATGCAGAATTATAGTACTTAGAAATTTTGTTCTACCAATATCATGAATAAACTGATGACTAATGGATATATCAAATTGGTTATAAATAAGCACCAAGGGAACATCTAGACTTGGAAATAGTTGGGTCATTGAGGCCAAACCTTCTGGGTACAGAATCCTTATTACCTTTCTTTCCAGCCTTGGCTTGAGCTAATGCAATAGATATTCTGATCCACTTTTATTGAGAAATTGGTTCCAGTGTTAAACTTGTTTTATTTTTACGATTCTTTTTCTAATATTCAGTCAAAACCTGTCTTCTGATTGAGGCATTTGATTCTAATTTCCTAGAACTTCTTTTTAATTTGAATTCTCAATTGACAGATTCCAGGTATATTCTGGATACATTAGTTGCCAGTCTTGGTTTAATTAGTAAGCCCAAAGTGATTTGTGATGGCAATTTGAATATATCTGAAGCCTTGATAAGATGCATAGAATGGAAAAAGGGATTTGTTTAGTGGTCCATTTTTACATTCCACTGGAATGTTCTAAGTTGGCTATTTCTGAAAGAATAAAACTTGTAACATCCAGAGTGTTGCTTTCTTAACATGGAAAAACAGCCAACCCACAAGCCTTACTGAATTTTGCAGCTTGCCCACACAAATACCAACAGAATCCAAACCAACATTGAATGGAATAATTTCAATGAAGTCCATGAAAAAGTAGCAAAAGATTCACCATTAATTATCGTGACTAAAAACAACATGATCATGGCATTGACATAAACAAACAGCACAGCTTAAAACAGCTGTGTTTTATCTTTTATTCAATATAAAACTAGTGTGAAGTTGGGACAAAACTTCAGAACTTGATGCTTTCTTTCAAGTTTAGAACATATTGCACACTTTTAATGCTACGTGTCCCATGTTGACTCATTCCCTCTTGTTGCTGTCAATATATTTTTGTAAATACTCATTTTAACAAAGTTATCAGATATCAGAGATTTTATCTGGACTACAAACACCCAGATGATCAAGAGATGCTGTGCCTTGATTTTGTAGCCTGGATATTACATACCTGTTACAGTCATACTTGGCACTGGTATGTTTGAGAAAGAATATACCAAATGCAGAGCCCTGAACATGTATATGGTCAATAATGCCATACAGATATTGTTGTAATAAGTTTTTTTGTCTCTCTATCAGCCCTCTGAAATTCCTTGTTATGTTCTTTAGATCTAAGATCTTTCTCTTTCTTGGTTTGACTTTTCTTCTTGGTAACTTCTTCCATTTGCCTCACCATTCCTTCTGTTTGGTCTTTGGCAGGCTCTTTTCATGTTCTTTCTTAAAACTCTTTTTTTTAATAAAAAAGAAATCTGCCTTCATGATGCTGTTATTTTGATATGTTAGTACTTCAAAATCTCATCTTTCAAATTTTCTTTCAAATTTTTAAGCCATAATTTCAAACATTCAAATGCAACAAGTTTAATATGCAAGTCTGCACAAGTTCTAAGATAAAAAATAGAGATCATCTAGATGA